CGCGTCTAGCGAGCCGCGCGGACCATGGCGTCCGTGTCGCTGCAGGACTTCGTTTGCGCCCTGGACCCTGCCTCCCTCCCGCGTGTGCTGCGCATCTGCTCGGGAGTCTACTTCCAGGGTGAGTGAAGTGCCGAGACCCCCCGGCCCCTGGCTCCTCCGCTGCCAGGTTCTCCCTGCGTGTCCCGCAGAGGCGCTGCCAGGGCGTTAGAAACCTGAGAAAGTGAGCCCCGGCTTCAAATCTCGACGCTGCCACTGCCCAAGCTATGTGATTTGGGGCTACAGTTAACCTCTCTGGGCCTCGGCTTTTGCTTCCGTGGAATGGAGGTTCGCTGATTGCCCCGCAGGGTGGTAATGAGCTCGGACACACAGATGGGTGGAACCGAGCCAAGCCAGCTGCATTGATTGAGGGCCTACGGTGTGGCGGCGCGGCATCAGGCACTCACGACAGGTAGCTGTGGCTTGATTCTTAAGTGCCAAGTCAGCCCTCCCCTCCGTGTGGCCTCGCACTCCCCCTTGACGCCCCTCTATCTACACCGCCCTCCTTCAGTTCCTTCATCCCATCTCTGTCTTCTGCTTGGCAATGGGCAGTACTTGATCCGATCAGCTCTTCAGTTCTCCGCTTAAATAGCTCCTCATCCTAGAAGCCTTCCCAGCTCTCTGCACATCTGCCCACCTGGCCACAGCCCACCTGTTTCACAGGGACGGATGGGTACACAGCAGGGCGCTGTCACTTGTTATCGTCTGAAAGCGCAAGAGGCAAAGAACTGACGGGCGGTGGAAGGGAGAGGACAGCTGCTCAGCAAATGGGAAACCCTGGCTGCTGCGGGTGAGGGAGGAGCTGTGGGCATCCGCGTCCGGAAGGAGGACGTGGAGAAGAGAGGGAACCCAGACCCTGGGTGGTGCTGGGGAGGAAGGCTCCTTCCTTAGAGAGCAAACGAATGCATGGGTGCCCTAGCCATCCTGTCCCCTCTCGCTGTCCCCTTTCTCTGTTCCCTTGCTCTGCCACAGCAGCTTCCAGTAAAGTGTTCTGAGGCCCCATGTGGGTTCTAGACCAAGGGTGAGACATATGGAGGGCCACAAAGTGGACAGGACAGGTCACTGCACTGTGGGTCCGGCCAGGTCCACCTGGGAATCTAATAGATCCGGGTTCAAATCCTGACACTACCTCTCTGGGCTTCCAGCAGGCACCTGTGCTCTGTTTGCTCTCCTCGCAACATCCCTTACCCGCTGTGTGTCATAATATCTGCATTTCTTCATTTTCCGTGAGCCGGGTGGTGGACGGAAGTTAGGGTAAGAAAAGAGCCTGGTGGGGTGAGTGTGGAGGACAGATGATGATTCTGATGGAGCAGGCGGCTGGCCTGGACATTTCCACTTGGAACCCCTGAGGAGCTGCGGCTTTGGAGGCAAACACCCTGGACTTGAGTCCCAATTTGGCCTCTTATTACCTACAATCTTGGGCTGCCCACTCAGCCTCACTGAGGCTGTTTCATTATTTAGGAAAGGGAAACTGTCCCTCTGAGGGCAGTCGTGGGTTTTAAATCAACGACGCATCTGCAGTGCTGACCACAGCGCTCGGCACCACTGCAGCTGTCCCCACCAGCCCCAGGGCCTACCCCTGAGACGGTAGACAGAACTGTGTGTTTTATGAGCCTGTGTGTAAGGGGTGGGGTTTTCCTGGGGGTAAGTGGTAGAGTTTTCACCAGTTTCTCAGGGCTGTTGTGAAGAGTCCTGCTGGGGCTGCCCTGGGGTGGGTTGGGGTCAGGTGGCCTCAAGGCTTGTCCAGCTGCACTTTCTGTTGTCAGCAGGGTGCAGAGCCTGTGCACTCCATGTGTGGGAGAGATCGCTATTGAGCACCTTCTATGTTCCGGACACTGTTTTAAGAACTTTAAACCAGGAAAGTGACACTACTGGGCTCAAAAGAGGGGGTCCTGCTGGGGCTGCCCTGGGGTGGGTTGGGGTCAGGTGGCCTCAAGGCTTGTCCAGCTGCACTTTCTGTTGTCAGCAGGGTGCAGAGCCTGTGCACTCCATGTGTGGGAGAGATCGCTATTGAGCACCTTCTATGTTCCGGACACTGTTTTAAGAACTTTAAACCAGGAAAGTGACACTACTGGGCTCAAAAGAGGGGGCCCAGAACCCTGCCTGTGTCCCCCCCACCCCCCTCCACACCCCGCTCCTGGCCTCCCCATCCCCTGTCATTGGCCTTCCATTCTCTCCTGTACTTTTTTAAAAACCATTCATCTGAAGAAGAAGAAGAAGAAGAAAGCACCCGGATGGATGCTAGGCTCTGTGTGACCTTCGGTAGCCACTGACCTTCTCTGGGCCTGATTTTGTAACTGTACAATAAGGAAATGGGGAGTCACCAGGTTATCTACACATTCGTGCCTTCAACATATGGTTAGAGGCCAGGCCTCTTCTGGCTGCAGTGATGCGAAGATAAATCAGCCCTGCCCTATGAGCTCAGTTTAGGAGGCACGGGGACATGAAGGCCAGAGAATGTACCACAGAGGAGTACATCCAGTGCTAGGAGGCAAAGGTAGCATGTATGCTGCCCGAGGACAGCTGATCCGGTGGCCATAAGGGAAGGCCCAGTGCTTGGCCCCTGCCGAACTTTGAAACTGAGTCTGTGTCTGCAGGCTCCGTCTACGAGATCTCTGGAAATGAGTGCAGCCTCTCCACGGGGGACCTGATTAAAGTCACCCAGGTTCGCCTCCAGAAGGTGGTATGCGAGAATCCTGGAACGGGCCAGACCATAGAGCTGGACCCCAACTTCCAGGGTAAGGTGGGCACCTCCCTCTCCCCAAGTGCCCTGGCAGCCTCCAGGCACACCTGCGGACATACTCGTGGGCTTGCCAACCCCAGCACTCCCTCCCACCGTGGCTCTTCAGCCACCACTATCCATCCTCAGGGAGGTGTGACGTTGCCCTGAGCCTGGCTGGCATGGCTGCACCCTCTCCTTACCCATCTCTCTCATCACATCTTGGCTGGGACTTATTTGTTCCAAGTCTTTGTCCATGTGCCGTGTCCCCTCACACATTCACTTACTAAGCATTTACTGACACCTACTGTGTGGCAGCCCCTGTGTTAGGGGCTGGAGATGTGGGGCTCAGGATGAACCAGGGGTAGCCCTCTCTGGTGGGGGGCATCCAGGATGGCAGTGAGAGGCGGGCAACAGTAGAAGTAGACACAAATTTAGAGGGGGCTCCAGCGGGAGCTGCCTGCCTCAGTGGGCTGTGCAGGCTTCCTGGAGAAGGGTGGCATCTTAGTTGGAGGAAGGATCCCTAGAGGGAGTAACATGTGTACAAACCTCATGTACCTCACTTCTGCAGGAGGCATGTCGTGTGGTGGACTGTGGGCCAGGTGCTGAAGCCCACAAACAGCCTGGGTGGGAAATCCCACTGTGTCAGCCACTAGCTGTGGCCTTGGCAAGTTCCCATGACCTCTCCGGGCCTCAGCTTCCTCCTGAGTGACGGGGGTACTCAGACTTGATGTGAGGATGAGATGAGTGGCCATGCATGAAGTACATAGAACAAGCCTGGCACAGAGCAGGCACCCTCTGAAGGCTGGTTCTTAGTATGATTCACTGTAATCACTGCAACGGGATGGGTGAGGGTGTGGGTTCCAGGTGAAGCACAAGTGGTGGGAGGTGGCGGGAGGCCAGACCACTGGGGACTCGTGTGGTCTTTTGGTCTTTATTTTGAAGGCATTGAGGAGCCAGTGAGGGTTTTAAGTATGAAAGTGATGTACGTTATTTTGTATTTTGAGGATTTTGTTTTTAATTTGAAATACTTTCAAATTTACAGAAGGCTTGCTGGAACTATTGTACAGCCTTATCCAGATTCACCAATTGTTATATTTTATTACATTTACTTTCTCTTTCTTCCTCTTTTTCTCTCTCGTCACACACACACACGAACATATGTTATTATATGTATTTTATATGTATACACATATTTTTCCCGAACCATTTAAGAATTGCAGACATGATGCCCCTTTACATCTAAATATCACTCCTAATATTTAGTGTCTCTCCTAAAAAACAAGGACCCTCACTCACAAGACTATAGTTCAGTGATCAAATTTAAGAAATTTTATATTGATATAATAGTAGTGTCTAACCCACAGTCTATATTCAGATTTTACCAACTGTCCTAATGATGTCCTTTGTAGTAGTTTTTCCCCTTGAACCAGAATCCAGTCCCGGATCACACATTTCAGGCAGTTGTCCTATTTCGTTAGACTCCTTCAGGCTGCAAGAGTTCCTTAGCCTTTCCTTGTCTTGACATTGACATTTTTGAAGAGTTCAGACCAGAGCTTTTGCAGAATGTCCCTCAGTCCTGGTTTGTATGATGTTTCCTGGATAGGATACGTGTTGAGCTGATTGGGTAGGAAACTCTCAAAAGTGAAGTTATGTCCCGATGTGGGATTATTTTAGGCCAGCTGGGTGGCAGGAAAAGGATGGATGGGGTGGGGGAGGGGTAGAAGGGAGGAGAGCAGTCAGGCAGCCAGAACTGGCAGACAGTTAAGGGAGGTGGTCAGAGTCATTTTGCCAGTAGCTCCAGGGGGTCAGTAGCTCCTGGGTTTCTAGTTTGGGAGAGGGACAGTGGTGCTGCCCTAGAATGGGATGATAGATATTGGATGTGTGGGATTGGATATGTGGGACGTGAGGTACCTGGGGGCAAAGTTGGCTAAATTGGAGGCAGATGGGGTCAGGAAATAGGAAAATGTGGCAGTCGTCAATGTGGCTGTTGGGGAATTCATCCTTGTTCTGTTATCTGTCTCTGGCGACAGTCCCTCTGTGGCCATGCCTGTGTGTTAGAAGAAACTGTCTCCACCTCTGCCCTTCACTGTCCATTCACACATGGTCCCTTGCTGCCCCTTGTCCCTTAGCCCTGCAGCCTGGGTGTCCAGAAACTGGCTTGCCCTTGACATCTGTCCTCAAGGGATTCTGTCTGGGTTCTCTGGGACCAGACCAGGGCCTGGTGTATGTGGCCCTGGACACAACCAAAGCCTGCCCCACACTGACACCCTCTGCTGTGCTCCACAGGCCACTTCAGTCCCCTCACTGGCCCTCAGAGCTATGGAACCCTGGAGGAGCTGGTCTCTTCTGTAATGCGGAGCTCCAAGCAGCTGCCCATTTGGTTCATGTCAACCCACAGAATTGACACGAAGGCCAGGGTAGTGCCTCAGGAGCAGCCCCTCATGCTCGAGGCTGTGGAAAGGCACCCCAAGAACTGCTACGCGCGCTGTGTGCTGGGCACAGGGACCCAGCCAGTCGTTCTGCACCTGCCCCTGTTCCAGAAGGGGCCCTTCTGGGAACTGGAGACTGGTGCCCCTCGGACCATGCTGCAGGCCCTGCAGGACCCGGCCCTGAGGGACCTCCTCCTCACCTGCCCCACCCTCCCCTGGCGCACGCTGACCTTGAAGCCCCAGTACGAGATCCAAGCCATCATGCACTGTGAGTTGCCTGGGCAGGTGGGTGGGGGTTGGTGGGGAAGGGAGAGAGGGGACCCTGGCGAGTCGCTCTGATGGAAGACTCCAGCCCCCGTTGGACAGTCTAGGGTGGCTTACTCAGTATATACAAAATAACAGAATAAAGATTCCCAAAGAGTGGGAAGTTAGGTATAAAAGGAGATAGGCAAATGGGCTAATTTAAGAGTGAGATCCCCAGTAGTGTATACGACTGGGCAGAAATTAGGCTGCGAGCTTGCTAACAGCGAAGACCAAGAGACAGTGTTACAACGTGAAACCTTGACCATTTATTTGCTCAGGAGAAAAAACATTTTCCTGCCTCTGAGGAGAGCAGTACTGTTCCTGAAGGTCCTTCTGGCAGGTGACAGAGGGCCCTGGGCGAATCCTCTAGCCTTTTCATGCGTTATTCTTAGGTCAGGCTGGTGGCAGCATGCAGAGCAGGGTTGGTGGTACTGAGGCAGAGGTGGCCCGTCTGGCTAGTCGGAGGCTGAGCTTGAGTGGAGGTGAAAGCACTGTGCCCCGGGACCTCCTTCCTGGAGGCCGGAGTTTGAGGTTCCGCTCCCTGGCAGTTAACGAGAGAGCAGTTGGTTAGGGTTGCCGGCAGACTACAGAGCCAAGTGAGTATTCTTTGCCCTGTTTTCAAAAACAAAATCTTTTAAAACTATTTTAGTCTACGGCCATACCACCCTGAACAAGCCCGATCCCGTCTGATCTCGGAAGCTAACCAGGGTCGGGCCTGGTTAGTACTTGGATGGGAGACCACCTAGGAAGACCAGGTGCTGTAGGTGTAAAAAATAAAAAAATAAGGGACTGTAAGCTGACAAGGTCCTTGCAATCTGTGAGGTCAACCAAGGGTTGCCTCGCCTAAAAACTAAAATAAAACTATTTCGTTATGGAAAAATTCAAACAAACATATAAAAAAGCAGGGAGTAGTATAACCAGCCCCCATGAGTCCATCACCCAACATCACAATTAGCAAGCAGCTCACGAGTCACCCTGTTTCATCTCTCCCTATCCTCACTCTCCCCAACTGATTATTTCAAAGAAATCCCAGATATCATAGCATTTCTTTTGTAAAGACTCCAATATGTGTCTCTTTTTAAAAAAGTGTCTCTATTCAAAAATATGAGACTCTTCTTTTTTTTAAACAGACACACAATACCATCATCATACCAAAAAGATGAACAATAACTCCTATTACCACCACTTGAGACACCTGGTGTTTGAATTTCCTCCACTGTCTTCTAAATTTTTTTACAGTTTATTCACATCCACATAAGGTCCACAACATTGCTGTCAATTGTTAGGTCTCTTAAGTCCCTTTTAATCTATAGATTCCCCTTTTCTATTTTTCTTGTAATTTATCTGCTGAAGGGAGGCTATTTCTCCTGTAGGCTTTCTCATATTTTGGATTTTGTTGCCAGCATCCCTGCGGAGGTGTTAACCTCCTCCCCTGTCCCCTGAGTTTCCTGTTGGGTCGGGCCCTGAGACCAACTCCAGGTTCGATGGTTCAGTGGGAGGATCACAGGACTCGGCAGACTGTGATGTATTACAGCGAGAGGACACAAAGCACAGTCAGCAAAGGGAAGAAGTGCATTGTGGAGAAGCCCAGAGGAAGCCAGATGCAGCTTCCAAGAGTCCTCTCCCAGGGGAGGCACACAGGGCACACTTAATTCCTTCAGCACTGAACTGTGCCAGCACACGTGGGGTGTTGTCTACCAGGGAAGTTCATTAGAGACAGTGCCCAAGGTTTTCACTGGTACTGTAGCCCCCCTCTGCCCAGCATGTACCAAAATTCCAGGCTCCTGGAAGGAAAGCTGGTGTTCAGCATTAGCCACATTGTTTGCACAGTGACCCACTCTTATCAGGGAATGGTGGGGGCCCTCCCCAAATCCACAGTCCCACATGCCAGCCCAGGACCAAGCCTGCAGGCAGACTTTCTTAGTGAGAGCAGTCTCAGGCCAGATATTTTAGCTCTTTTCTGCACACCTATCAACAGGCACCTAGCTCTAGAGGCCTGACCAGATGCAAGTCAGTTTCTCATTGTCACATGAGGTGCGGAGCAAGGAATCCCCACTTGGCTCTGTCTGCCACCAATCTAACTTGAACACCAGCCTTGCCATGTGGTGTAGGTCAAATAACACAATGAATGGGCCAGTGTTTGTGATATGAGTGGTTGCTGGTGACCACTGCCTAGATCCATGATTTCATTAGGAGTTGCAATGGTGATATTTTAACCTGATCATTATTTCATTTATTAGCCAGGAAACTACATAAAGAGAAAACTCCCCTCACCTACTCTTTGCTTACAGTTTGTACAGGAAATTCAGGACATTGTGTTTGTGTGTGTAGAGGTCCCTGGGTAGGCTCAGCCTCTGACTGGCCTGACCTGGCCAGGATCTGCCTGTTTCACCAACCCTGCCACCAGCCTGCACTGAGGACTGTCCTAAGAAATAACCTTTTTTACTAATTTTTAAAATAATGAGCTGGCTCCCTAGCACCCTTCATCAGGGATTATTTAGGTTTTTAAAAAAATAATTTTGAAGTTACAGATGAAATGTTTTCCATGTTCCAATCCACTGAAATTTTATTCTTATCGATGATCAAATTATCTCCGCTTTGGCCAGTGGGAGGCTCCTAAATCCTTTTGACATACCTTTGTGGTCTTGGATAGATTTTCTTACTTTCTGGTGTAAGATGGTCAAGGTTCATCTTGAACATTTCCTCCCCAGGAACTGAAGTTAGCTCTCTCCTGGGGAGCTCTGGACTCTCCTGGCAAATGACAGTAAGAGACCACAATCTGGGCAGCTAGCGGTTTTAATGGTGGCTTGGCAGGCTGTGCTGGATACCGAGGTAGTTCAGGAAATCCGTAAAATATTTTGAAGAAAAAATCAAAATAGCATAATGAACTCCCATGTGCCTATTACCCAGCTTCAACCAATTGTTAGCTCATCTGGTACAAATCCCAAGTGTGTCCTGAGAGAAGTCATCACTACCCCTCTGAGCCTTAATGTTCTCATGTGCCAAGTGGGGAAGATACGTACGTCATGTGACGTGCTTCAGACAACGCTGTGGGTGGGGGGGCCCGTTTTCCTCATACTTACAGTCACTTCTTGAGTTTATACCCAGGTACTAATCCAGAGAGGAAACACGTTGCTTGAGGTCATTTAGTCAGTCTTTCCTGATTTATTTCTTTATTTAAATCCAGAAAGGACTCGGAAAGACAGCTTATAAAATCACATTCAATTAAACTTCAATTAAACTTTAGAAGTGGTTGGACTGATGGGACAGTGGATATTAAGGAATTACCAAATAATCATTATTACTTCAATGTGGTAATGACATTGTTATGTTTAAAAATTTTAAAAAATATCCCTTTTAAAGACACACACTGAAACAGTCGCAGGTGGCATGATGTGATCTGGTTCACGATGACCCAGTGAAGGGAGACTAGACAGACAGGAGTAGAAATTAAAGAAGATGGGCCTTGAGCTCAGTGTTGGAGCTGGGATATAGGTATGTGGGGGTTCCCTATACTACTAGTCTCTCTACTTCTACAAATGTTTAAAGCTTTCTATAATAAATTTTTTAAAAAAGGCCAAAGTGGGCAAGGAATCAGATAGAGTAGGAAAGTGCTGGCAGGGAAGAAAAGATAAGGACAGGAAGGTCAGCCAGGCCAGGGCTTGGGTCTGGGGGTGCAGAGCGCTCTGCAGGCTGCACGCGGCCCCGCCACTGAGTGACCTGCCGCCTCCACAGTGCGCAGGACCATGGTCAGGATTCCTTCCACCCTGGAGGTTGACGTGGAGGATGTCACCGCCTCCTCTCAACATGTCAGCTTCATCCAACCGCTGCTGCTGAGTGAAGCCCTGGCCCGGGGGGGGCCATTCCCCCTGACCATAGAGATCCTGGAAGTTCCGGAGGGGCCCCCCATCTTCCTCAGCCCGTGGATGGGCTCCTTGCGGAAAGGCCAGAGACTTTGCATCTATGGCCTGGCCTTCCCGTCCTGGCGGGTAATAGCCTCAACCAAGGGCCGGAAGGTGCCCAGATACTTCATGGTCTCTGGGGCCTACCAGGGCAAACTGCGACGACGGCCAAGAGAGTTCTCCACGGTCTATGACATCCTGAGTGCTCTCCAGCCAGGCCAGCCACTCCGGGTGGTGGCCACCAAGGACTGTGAGGGCGATGAGGTGGAGCTCCCTGGGTTCGCTTCCCTGGCTGTGGGAGACAGGCTGGAGGTGATGGGGCCTGGTCAGGCCCATGGGGCTCAAGGAGGGGACATAGACATTTTGGTGTGTCATCGGCTGAGTGACCAGGCCGAGGAGGAAGAGGAAGAATGTGAGGAGGAGGCAGAGGGCCGAGAACAGATCGTGCTGCCCCTCTACCTCTCCGGCGGCTTCGTGGAGGATATGAATGATGGCCGGCGCTACAGCCTGGCAGATCTGACTGCCCAGTTCTCATTGCCCTGTGAGGTCAAGGTGGTGGCCAAAGACGCCAGCCAGCCTGCTGACCCTCTGCCTTCCTTCTCTGGCCTGCGGCTGGAGGAAAAGATTATGGAACCCTTCTTGGTGGTCAGCCTGGACTCTGAGCCTGAGAAGTACTTCGAGATTCCTCCCCGGTGGCTCGACCTGACTGTTGTGGAGGCTGGGGAGCAGCCAAGACAGCCAGCTGGGTCTCCGCCCACAGTCACAGTAGAGGAGCTGACGGATGCCTTCTATTATCGCATTCGGAAGTTACCGGCATCCGAGAGCCAATCCCCTCCACCAAGGCCCCCGAAACGTGAAGGCCTCGGTGGGCAGAAGAAACGGAGCAGCCAGGAGAGAAACATCAAGGTACCGGTATGACTGAAATGGGCAGGGAGGGGTCGCCTGCTGGGATGACTGCAGGACCTGCCATTTCCTCTTTGTCTGGCATCACATTTCTTACAATCGTATTGAACTTGCAGTTTATAAACTTGTGTACTTTGCATCTGTTATTCTTATTTGATCCTGACAATCGTCATGTTGATGTGATTGTCCACATTTTACAGTTGAGAAAATGAGGACTCAGAGATGGTGAGATTTGCTCAATGTTACAATTAATCAATGGGAGGCCTGAACTGGAACATAGCATTCTGACTCCAAGTTCATTGTGCTTTCCCTCTGGTACCTGATGTCATCCTCCTAGTTCAAGCTTCATCATTTTTCACCTAAACTGTTTCAGCAAGCTCTTCAACTCTTCCTCACAGCTGTCCGAATGGCCTCCCAAATCTGTCCCTGGTCACCGAAGGGTCTCGGCCCCATTTTCTGAAAATTTCAGTGGCTCCCTACTGCCAGGGGAGAAATACAGACCCCTTAACATGGCATCCAGGGTCCTTTGTAAGCTGACTTTAGTCTCACCTTCCCAGGCTCATCTTCTACCACCCACTCTGCAGTCCACATTCCAGATACAGAGACGCTCCTGAAGCCCCCTGACTGTGCCAAGACTCCTACCTCAGCATTTACACATACCAGTTCTTTAGCCAGGCATGTTCTTCCTCCTTCCAGGCTCCTGGGCAGGGCTCAGCTCAGAGTCCTCCTAGGCAGTGAGTTCTCCCTCTTTTGTATTCACTCTGCATGCTGGACGTTGCTGGGGAGGTGGGGGTGCGGTGGATAGAGTGGGTCACAGTTTCCTGTTAGTTGTACTCGAGTCTCTGGCTAGAATGAGAGTTCTGTGGGGGCAGGGACCTCACCCATTCCAAGGTGGGCCAAGAAAGTGCCAGTGAGTGCTGAACTGAACCAAACTGAATCACACTAAGGAGGAAAGAACCAGACACAGAAAGACTCAGTTGATGTCCCAGTTTATTCACTCTGTGGCCTGTACTCTATTCTGAGTATCTGTTTTCTCACCAGTGAACCCGAGATAACATCACTGACTCACATCCATGTTTCATTAGATGCTGCTACCTGTTGGGTGCTTGCTCTGTGGCAGGCATCTTATATGCACTGCCCCAGCTGGCTCTCACACCATCCCTCTGAGGTGAGCACCGATAGAAGCTTTTTGTTTAGTTGAGAAAACAAGAGATGCAGAGATGTAGTTTCCCTGAGATCACATCGCCAGCAAGTGGTGGGCTGGGGTTTGAAATCGGGTCTGACCACATGGCTTGAGCACCTACCTACCATGCTCTGCTCGTGTTTGTGTGGGTAGGTAGTGGGATGGCAGTGGAAGTTAAAAAGATGAATCCTGAGCTGTCTTAGCCCCAGAAGCGGGGCATATCTGCAGAGAAGGGGCAGTTGTTTTCTGGGAGGACAAAGAATGGACTGGGACATCTAAAATACAGGCCTTGCAACAGTGCTGGAAAGAATTCAGAGACCTCAGTCCCAGCCTTGGCTTCTGATAGAAGTGACATCAGGCCCAGGTCTTGTTTTTGAATCAGCAGCTTTTCCTCTCTGGGTATCAGTATTCTTCGCTGCTGATCAGGGGAGGGATACTGTTTGCTCTCTGAAGCACGATGTGGGAAAGAGCACTGGTTTCAGAGGTGACAGAGAGGGCCTGGGCCTGAGCTTTGGCCCAGTTAGGGTCCCCTGTGTGAGGTCTGACATGGCATACTCTCTCTGAGCCCATTTCCTTACGTGTAAATTAGGGACTGAACCAGCTACTCAGAAGGTCACCTGAGGGTTATATGAACAGATATGCATACAGCATCTGGCACAAGATAGGAGTTCGATGTAAGTCCTCTTCCTTCTGGTACTCCTCTCAGCTCTGGCACTCTGCTGAAGCTTTGACTGCTTTTCCCCTTCAGCAAGATGTGAAGCACAGTGACCAAACTCCTATGTGGAGAAATTCAGAAACACTGTCTCTAGCCTCCTATCATCTCACCCTGACCCTTTTCTCCCCTGCCAGAGAACATTTCACGTGTTTATAGTAAAAACACCTGGGGCCTTGAGACCCTCTCCCCTCAAAAGGAAGTAGAGAAGGGAGCAGAGGAAGTGACATTCGAAGGAAATTACATTTCATGGATTCTGCTGCTCCATTTCTCAGAACTCTGCTGACTTCTGCTTTTTCTCTCAGTCTTTTCAAGTCTCAGATCTGATGAAGACGTTGCCAGAGGTCACCAAAACCCGATCAAATACATATAGCAAGATTTCTACCTGTAAGAAGGGCCCCAGGCCCACTACGTCACAAGATTCAGGTGAGTCCTGTTAGCCCCTGTTCACCCTTGTCCTTGCTTCTCCCCTTCCCAATTTTCTCTGCTGCTGCTTTCGCCTCTGATTGTGCTGGCCATACCCTTAGCAGGGCCGTGCCCAAGGGATGGCCAGGCCTATATGGGATGGATTTAGGCTGAAAGGTCCTTACTGTCCCTCTCCCAGGCCTCTAGAGCCCTGGCAAGGAAAATGAGTTCATCTCCCAACACACTACCTTCCCCAAGGCATACAGGGAGAATGTTTGCTAAGTGTTGAGGTAAAAACGAATTTTGGTTTCTGGGCTGGCAAGGACTTTAGAGCACCCAGACCAACCCCTTCCCTAGCCAGGTGAGAAGCGTGCCCTAAAGTAGAAAAGGAACCTGCCTAAGGCCAAAGATTGTCACTGACTTGGACTCTTTTGCAGATGATGATGAACACAGTTACGAAGAAGTAGCTGAGTGCTTTCATAAAACCCTCTAGGCACGGGAGGAACCATGCTTCCTAACTGCTGCTTCTCAGGGAACCCAAGGTACCAGCTGACCATTATAAGCCTTTAGACTTTGGACAAGGTCTCACAAAAATGAGACTGTGGATGGAGAATGGCTTTGTGGGACTGGTTTGAAGTGGGATAAACACTGCACCAGACTCCCTCAGGTTCTAGGTTCCTGCCACTGAAGGCTGGCCTGTTTGAGCCTAGTTTGCACTTGATGCCCTTGGACTCGGAGCTTTGGTATCCAGAAGAGCCAACTGAGTTCTACTCAGTCCTGCATCGCCAACATCAACTGTCCCACTGGTCAATAAGAAAGGAATCAAAGAAGCCACCAAACTTGGTGACGGCAGCAGTGCCTCCTGCCTTTTAATACAGAGGGACTCAATACTGATCACGAACTGAGAGCCTTTTTTTGTTTGCCACATCCTTGTCCCCCTTCCTGCTCCACTCTTCCTGCCCCTCCCCTGCCAAGGCTCTAAGCTCCTGAGAGACCAGGGCTGTCTTCCTCATCTCTGCAGCACTGAGTACATGACAATGACCACCCAAGATTATTTCACTCCAAAACCATAAAATAAAAATGACAGCCAAGCTTCTGGAAAAATGACAAGATATCACTTATTGTGTGTGCCAGACTCTTTACAAACCTATTTAAATCCTCAACTTTCTTATGTAGACGAGAGCCTAATTTTAAAGATCAGGAAACAAGGAGGCAGATTAGTCATAAACCTGGTTAGGATCCTAGCTTACTACCTGTCAGACAAAGCTAAGTTACCTACCTCACAAGATTGTTTTAAGAATCAAATGAGAGAATCTTTGTAAAGCATTTAACACGGTGCCTGGCACATAATGAACACTGGATAACATGTATCATTATTATTGACCAAGATCGAACCTATACCCTTTGCAAAAATGAGATAATCTTCCAAGGTCATTCTAAGTCTGTTTAGTGAGGTAAGACCACAGGCCTCATTAATGAATCCTGAGCTGAAGGGGAAAAGCAGTCAAAGCTTCAACAGAGTGCAAGACTTTGGTTTCCTGGCTGATGCAAATCTGGAACTAGGTACCATGGTCAGCAGAACACAGGAGGTAGACAAAAAGATGATGAGTCTCTAGCTGAGGTGAGAGCTGAAAGAGGGTCAAATTTCCAACTCCTGGATTCTAGGGTACTACACCTGAGTTTGTCATCCTTTTGCCTGCTAACTCCCCTCTGGGCTGTCTGGACCCACTGCACTTTCCAGGCCTCCTGGCCTCCATACCCCACACCATGGAGTTCTCCAGGTGACTACTGAGAGGCTTTTATAGGCTGCTGGGCCAGTCCTCAGTATCTAGCATCCCATCCACATCTTCCCACCAGTTCCCCTACCCTCCTCCAGAAAGACAATCTGTACCGCACAGGAGGACCCTGAGGAAGAGAGTATTCTGGGACAAGCAATAAGAGAGACATAAAGTTCCTCCTTGGCACAGAACCCCTAGGGGCCAAGACCACATGCAAAATGCCAAGTTTCACTTTGCAGTTAATCTTGGTATCAAATTGAGCAAGATCACAAAAGAGGAAAGGGGGCAAAGATGAGGGCTGCCAGTTCCTACAAAATGGGATTTCTGAGTGGCCAAATGCTGCAATGAGAAAGGAAGACACTTCACAACAAAGTTGTGGAAAGCTGGGCTTAAAAGGAAAACATGTTTGAAAATCACAACTGGGCATGTCTGATCAGAGCAATGAAGGTTGGCAGAGAATGGACCAATGGCAGATACTACCCTCAAAGAGTTTTTGTCTTGTTTACCTCTGGAATGATCCACCGGGTGCTGGGGATGGTGTTCTAATGGGGATAGGGATTCCCTCTGACAGTGATCTCCAATGTGGGCACACATGCCTGGGAGTACATAACATGATCCACTGGAATACCTGAAAAAGTTATCAGTACATTCCTTCATAATTATTTTAATATCCTTCACTTATATTTTTGAATGTTTTATAATGTGTAACATGCCAATACAGTAAGAGATGTAAATAACTGCTAAATAAATGAATACAAACTGGAGATATACGTTCAAAAATATTGTTTAGAATTTCCCTCAACTGTATTTTTAAAAACAAATTAATTCTCATCAGACACTAATTCTTATTGGCCTTACTTTAAACCCAATAAAGTATTATTTCTCATGGAGTCTGATTTCTCACCTAGAGATTCTCCAGAGAGCAGGCTGGACTAACTGCTTGGCTGACACTGGGGGCGTTTCTAGAAACTTGGGTCTGCTGTTCCTGTCTCAACAATGTGCCAGTGGAACATTGAATACCTGAAATCCTAGGGGACGACAAACATCCGAAGTGCAAATGCCTCCTGCTCAAGCAGGGTAGCTTTATAAAGGCTCACTCTGCTGAGGAATGTGCTCAGCCCCATAGGCCTCTGTATTGCTCAGAAAAGGCACAACTACTGTGAGACTGTGTAAATGCCATAAATACCGTAAAAAAGATGGCAGAGTTCCTCGCCACTGAGCAGCTACTCTGTGCTGCTGGGAATGCTGAACACCCATCTCTTAGTTTGCTTATATTCCTAGTGCCTAATGGGGTAACACAGATGTATTCAATACTTGCTGAATCAGTAAGTAGTTTTTAATGGCTGAATCCCCAAATTCAAAGGAAAAGACTTTCATGCAAAACCACTGCTTCTGCCTTGCCCATTTTGAAGGCACTAGCCTGATGACTAGAAAGGGAAGTCCACCACCCATAAAAGTACCCTATCATGCATTTCAAATTCAAATGTATATGACTTTTTAACTTATTTTTAGCCCACTGGCCTTTATTTTAGGAATCAAGAATGGACGTACTTGCAATGGACTGCCTCTTAAACATCTGCATAGCTCCCAAGATGGAAACTACTTTGCATGTATAGAAAATAACAGCCAGATAGTTGTTCACTGTTAGAAACCAGGAGGGTGGAGCCTTCTCCACAGCTGCTAGATCTCATTTAGAAACACAATTAAAGCAATTATAAAATTTTTATTTGAATGTTATACCTCATTAATTTACCTCAGAATTAGTTTTCATTCAAGAAGTAGCTTACTTTCTGGAGTTGTCAAAAACATCTTTGAACTACTTTCCTCTCCCACAAGAAACAGAGCTAAGTTGGCCAAAAAGTAGCCAAGGCCTTTAGAATCTCATTCTAAGGTCAGACTGTAGATATTTGATTCACTTACATAATCATATACTGCTACAGAATCAAGATTAAGTTCCATTTTATCACCCTTATTAATGGCAATGCTAGATGCTTCATTATCTTTATTTCATTCAATTTTCGTAATAAACCTAGAAGAAAATAACATCAGTCTCTTCGTAAATGAGAAAATGGAGGCTCTCAGAGCTGACACAGCCTGCTCAAGATCCTAAAAAGGAGAGCCAAGACTTCACAGCCAAGTCAAACTATGCTACACTGTTTCAGCGATAAAGTAGTAATTATGCCAACTTAAAAATAAGAACAATTTCATAAATTACCGCAATAACAAAACTACTTTATTTAACGTATGAAAGTATTTAATTTGTACAAATCATGGTAACATTTCTTCCCCTCTGCCCCATGAGGTCCAACTCTAGAACCTCATATTTATAAACACGCTCTTGGCAGCAGTCAAGACGTGGTGCAAGAAAGTGCAATTCTGAAAGTAACACATAACCAAAACAAGGAACAAAAACAGGCAGAGGTTAGCGGGTTTCTTGGCTAGCTTTCCACTCACAGGTTCTAGTCCTACTCATCTTGTCTCAATAGGAAACATTTTAGGAATAGAGACTTGCATGTATTATTTAAGTAACACTGCCCAACTCCTGATAGCATCCCTCTTCCATCTCCGCTATCCTGATGTTTTAATTTGTAACTTAAGAAATTCCAGTCTGTTTTACATGCTTGTCAGTTGCCTATTTCCCTTTGAGCTTCAAAAATACAGAAGAGCAGTAAGCTTCAAAAGGATGTCAATTGAGATCTTTTATAGACGAAACCTGCTTTCTAGAAGTCAACTGGCCAAACATATACACAGCTGGAGACAAGAGTGTGAAAATAGGTCCAGCTGGAAAATATGTTAGGTACCCAAGTAGATCCAGTTATTCTGCGTCTGTGGATTTAAAATGATCATCATCCACAGTGGAATAGATGTGTCCCTCGTTGCTTAGAAAGTCCACAGCTTGCCTAGAAAGAAAGAAAAGACAGACTCATTTTCAAACCAACGCAGAAGGAAACTGCATTTTGGATATGGCCAAATATGTAAGCTTCATTCACCTTCCCACTTTCTATCTTAGCTAAAAATTCACAGCCATTCACTCACGGAAAACTCTTGTGGGGAGAAATACCAATAAAATTGCAGAACTGACGTAATCTATGGAGACAATGGCTATTAGGGCTGTCTTGGATCCTTTTCCCAAATTGTGTAAAGGCAAGAAAATAAGGCCTCTTTTAAATACCAGTCTAAGCAAATCAAAACAAGGATCTAAAGCTATAGTCCAACTTGTACTAAAATCTTCTAGTATAAAGAGCTTTTTAAAAATGTTGCATGCCCTTCCCCATCTACCCACTGACCCTCTAGCTCCCCCTGTGTGAAGTTATAGGAAGGAAAGGAAAGTCTTTCCAGAAACTGTTGAGACCTTCAAAACCTTAAAGGCCCTCAGGGTCTGTGTCAGTAACATATTTAGTGACAGGAACAATTTATGGAGCACCTACTATATGACAGGCATTCTGTACCTCATCATCACAGTAACTCTAAGACAAACAATTATCTTCATTTTATAGGACAGGAAATGAAATTAGACCTGAGCATTTCTCTATCTAGGCCTAGAATATCAACTGATTTATGGTAACAAATAACTACCACAATCACCATAGTACTGTTTGATTAGTTCACTGGAATCAGGAAGATGCCTAACATGTTTATCAGGATAAGGACTAATAGTTTCGGGTCCAGATAGCCTGATACCCACATCTCCACAGAGGGGACTGTACACCTGAGGACCGGGAGCTAAGAACCTCCCTCCTCCAGATTAAATCCCACAAGAGGTGTCAGGTCAGTTTTTGCACAAAATTACATCCCCCGCACGTAGTGGGGCTCAGTGTTTATTGAATGAACAAATGAATGAAGGATGTGACAGGCAGCACCATCTTTGTGAATCCTTTTTTTCTATTTTTCCATGACTAAACAACTTCCCTTCTGTCAATAAGGTTGTAGTCAACAGATAGCTTGTTGGTTTTTGAAACACCTTTCATTATCAGGAAACCCGGATGCGGTAAAGTGGGTTTAACTCCAGAGTCTTAGCTCGTGGAAACCACTCACTCACTTGATTGAAACTACAGTCATGTGTTGGAGCTGGTTCTTGAGTTCGTGAAAGTTCAATCCTTCAGGTCTTGGGCAAGCCTTAATCAAATTCAGTACCTGAAAATTCAAATCAGAAAGATTTTGGCAACTACTTTGAATCAGCTTCCCTATGTAAATCTAAATCTCTTTATAAGACAGCCTTAAAATCATTAAGGAAATAATAAAATTTAGGATTGTCTGAGATTTGCATTTCTGGAGCCACTTGGGTAGTTTACCTGGTTTTGGGCCACGGTGAGGCCATTTACTGGCATGAAGCTATTCCCACCAAAGTTCCCTGCTTCGCCCATTCCTGGATTGCTGATGGATGCTCTTCCTCTCGAAGGCTAAATTAAGAAATAAGTTCACAACAGGAGAAAGTTCATCAATTTAAACAGAGTCCTTGCTATTTTAAAAAGCTTGTTAATATAATAAGCACCTTACAAAAAGCAATTTAACCAGTTTTCTCAATTACAAGTATTTACAATGGAAGGGAGAGCTATTATTTAATAAGTATTTCAAAGGAAGGTAAAATAATCCTCTGAAGCACACCATATCAAACAGAGAGAAAGATGCCTTCTGCCTCCTTTTCTTTGTGATGGGAGGGTACCAAAGGAGAACTAGCACTGAGTAGAAAATTACCCAGATGTTTGCTATAATGGTATCTTTGGTGTTTAATCACTCATGCATTTGAGTGTCAACTAGGTATCATGAAGCATTACAGGGAGAAAAGGAGACACAGTTCTCATCATCTTTTCTTTTCTTCTTTTTTAATCACCGAAGTTAAAAAAAAAAAAAAAGGACTATAATCACTGTTTTCATTTCCCTTCTCCTTAGTCACTCCACAACTCCCACTATTTGGATTCTCCCTAATCCATCTCTGAAACTGTTCTAACCAAAGTTATCAATGACTTTTCAACCAACACTCAATAGTCTTTTTCAGCCCTGGTAACACGTGACCTCAAAAGCAGACACGGGTAACTACATTCCTCTTGGAAGGTACTCAAGTGCTTACATTTTCAGGAGAGGAAGCAAAGAGGCACCCTTACGTGCCTGTCGTTGGGCCTCAGTGTCCCTAGACTTCTCGATACTACATTCTTCTGGTTCTCCACTTAACTCTCAAATCACACTTTCTCAATATCCTCTATCAGCCTATTTTTCTACTTGTCTCCCAAAAGGCTGATACTTCCTCCAGGATTTATTTCTAGACCTCCTCCTAGACCACAAATCCTTGTTTCCAGCCATTTACTGGATACCACCACCTAGATATCTCACACACTTCAAAATGAAATTCATTACCTTCCTCCCCAAACCGATTTGCCCTTCTATATTTCATCTCAATTAGTAAACTCGAACCTAAAGCAGACCTTAGTCATGTGTAAGTCTCCATTCGCTTACTTTCCAAAATTTGTCACCAGTCTTTTAATATAATCTTCAGTGTCATTCAGCTCAAGCAGATCATCACCCCTGGTCTCCTGATTGGTATCTCAGCTGCTAGTCTCTCCTACTTCAATCAACCCTTCTCATTGCTACTAAGTAATAACTTCTGGTCATGTCACTCTCTGCCTAAACGCTTCCCAGTGGCTCCCCCTGCCTGTGAAAATAATATAAAACTCCTAGACATTCAAGACCTACAATTAGACCTCAAAATCTTTATTTTATTCTTGACATTCCCTTGCAACACTTTACTCTTCAGCTGTACTTGGACTTCTTGCCATCCACAAACATGCCTCTGACTCAAACATGTTCCCTGTTGAATATTTCTCCCCTCATCTGCCTGGTAAACTCTCTTCTCATCCTTCGAAGGCCAACTTAATTACTACTGTCTTTGTAAAGCCTTCCCTGACAGTCCCCAAGCCAAGTTAAATCATGTCCTTCCTTCTTGGCTCTCACAGCATTTGGCCCCTTCTCTCCTATAGTAGCCATCACAAAAATTGCCTGTTATTTACGCCCACAAGCCCTTTCATTTTTGCAGTGCCTGGTGGACAGTATGTGCTCACTGTTTAATCTATTGAATTGAATAAGTGAGGATAACAGATCAAATATTCAGTACCCATAATAAAGGAGCACCGCAGAAACTCATTAGGAGAAATCAGGAGATTCAGTCATTCAACAAATGTTCATTAGATGTTTACTGCTTTGAGGTAATAAAAAAATAAAAATCAGTCATGGTCCCCTGTTTTCAAGCTGGATAACTTCACATTGCCTGCTGGTAAAATAGAAGTCTTACATTTTATGATCCAATAATATTGAACTGAATGCTATTTCTTACTCTGCTGAAATGACCTCATGTCCTGCTTCAGATAGCGCCCCCTCATAACCTACTCCAGAAGGCCTCTCTTAATGTCCAGATCAGGACAGGAAATCCTCTGTGGTTCCATGGCACCCTGAACTTGCCACTTATCACTCCTTAAGTGCTCTGAACCCCTAATAATGCAAACTCTTTGAAGGAAAAGACTTACTTACTCTTCAACATAACTGTCTACATTCCCAGTTTTCACTCCCTAACCACCCATGCTTACTTTAAAACCGTTTATATCACATATTTGATACATATATGTTACCAAGTATAGTAATAAATACCAAAATACCATTCTCTTCAACCCACTTTTCTCCTCTCCTCTACTGAAGCCTCTCTTTTGAAGATCCATGTTTCCAAATTCAATAGCAGACCTCTCTCATCATCTTACTTGACTTCTAGGTAGAGTTCTACAATTGATTTCTACTCCGTCTTAAAATATTCTTTTCACAATATTCTACAGAATCACATTTCTGGTTTTCCTCCTACCAACCTGGCAACTTGACTTTCACTGGCCCCTGTTCTGCTTCCAGACTTAAGGTTAAAATACCAGAATTCAAGTCTCTGACCTCTTAACTCCCTAGTTGTCTGAGCTCATGAGGCTTCATCTACCACCTATACAATGACTCCCAAAGTTCTATCTCTAGTCCTTACCTCTTTCTAGAGTCCCAACCTTATACATTTAACCATCCATTGTTCTCCAGTTGGATATTTAACTGGTATCTCATCCTTGTTAAGTCCAAACAGAACGCTGGATTTTATCCTCCAAAATTGCTATCTTCATCTATTTGCTCAGGCCCAAACCCAGGAGTCATTTTTGAATCCTCTGTTCTTTATATCCTATATCTAACACTTCAATAAGGCCTATCAGCTCTACCTTCAAATGATATCAAAATCTAACCACTTCTTATCCCAGCTGTTACCATTCCTCTGAATTACTTCTATTGTTATTCTTGGTACCTCATAGCCTATTCTCCATACAGCAGCCCAAGGCAGCTTTTAAAAAGGTAAATCAGACCACGTCACTCCCTAGACAAAACCTTTTAAAGGTTTGGTATCAATTAGAATAAAATAATCCTAACTATGGCCTACAGAGCCCTACACAATCTGGGTCCTGCTTCCTTGCCTACATCCAACTGTTTTCCCTGTCATCTGCTTCACTAGACAGACTGGCCTTTTTGCTGGTCTCACACATCCCAAGCTTACTGCAGCCTCATGGCTTCTGACTTTCTATTCCCTCTGCTTGGTTTGTTCTTCCCTATCTAAATTGCACCATTCATATTTCCTCCATCACTCTCTTCTCCTACTTTATTTTATTTCAGCACAGCTATGACAATCTAAAATTATATATTCGTTTCTGGTTTATTGCCCATTTCTCTCAAGTTTCGAGTGCAGACACTTTATTCATTTCTGGATTAAGTGCTATATTCCAAGGGCCTAGAATGACTGGCACGTACTAGGCTCAACAAGTATTTTTCTAACAAAAGCATTTATCTCTGTATCCACAGAGATAACAAAGTGCTTGGCACAGAGTAAGATGCAACAGCATCTTTAATAGCTCCTCAGACCTCTCGTCTCTCTTATTGTAACCTATCCTCCATCTTGCCACTAGAATCATTGAAGGACATTCCAACACAAGAATCAACAAACCCTTTGCCTGGACCTAGATGGACTTGCCAAATTGAATTCATACAACAGAAAATAATATTGAGAAATTTCAATATGAAGCAAAAAATATCTTTTTAGTGATAAAATAATGATGAGTAAATTCTAACTACTTAGCCAATAGGCTGGAAGGAAAGGAGCAAAATGCTGTCCCAGTTGAGGTTTTTCTCTGAATATAGACTGACAATTGTAGTTGCAGCTCAAGCTGTAACTACATGTCTACACATGAAGGTTGTCTTAGGCTCCAGCCAAGCCAGTGGGGTGTGTGTGTGTGTGTCATAGGAACTTGTCATTCTGAGAAAAACATGAGTGCTTTATCTGGAATAAAACAGCATGGCAAATTTCATGGACAAAACATTTTAAGAACTGAGTGATACCTTTATTCTGGCTCGACCTTCAGAATGTCAAGAAAACCAAAGCCAGAGCACAGAAGCTGCCTATGCTCTTCCAGGGAAGAGAAAACGACGAGTGAAGCTGCTCACCTGGCTGTTAGCTTTGTTCAGTGTCATGTGTGCATTCACTACTTCCAGAATATGTGCAGTGAACTCATTCATATCCTCCAGGGGCATAATCTTAAAGGCTACCAGGCTTTTTTTGTTCTATTAAAGTAAAGAGAAAAATGTGAATAAAGGATGAGCATATTCAAGTCAATTTCAGGTAAAAACGCGATGGCTCTTTTCTTGGTTATAATATTCTGCTAACACGAGAAAAATGTGTTACATACTTAAAATTTGTAACTCAAGGTTAATCTAAATATAGTCAATAAAATATAATAAAAAACCCCAAACTAGCCAAGATATTCAAGACTTGCCCAAGGTTACACAACCAAGCAGTCTAGTATCCTGGCTCTAAATCCAGGGTCTGCCCATTTACATCTAATGGATACCAGAGATGGCAACTGTAGGCAGAGATCCTGTTCTTTCTCTATCATTCTGTTAATTTTGCATTAAGGTAAAACCCATTATTTCCTTTTGAAGAAGAAAATAATAAAATAACTTCAATATAACTCCCATTAAACATAGAAACTTAGTTTAAATTTTCAGTATTCTAAACTCAGGCACGAATCCAGAAATGGCTTCATGCAAATACATTTTGTCATTTTTTTTCGGACTTCACCTGAAAAGATCTCAGATGGCCAGCCACTTTCACATACGTTTCTGGAGGAACCACAGTGTTTTCACCGCTGGTGTCCTAACAAATAAAATACAAACATATTACTAAGGTTTTAGTGATGTTGGTGAAAACCTCTTAAAAATTTCTAAATAATGTACAAAAAGAGAAAGTTATAAAGTGAGAGTTAAAGGATCCTAATATAGTACTAACTAGTTTGCCCTAACTTTTAGAATTTTTTTTATAAAATCAGAAATTAGAATAAAAAGGTAATTTCCAGTTCCAAAGTTCTATGTTATGCACATCATAAAAAAGCAAACAATTATGGCACTCTCATTCAATGCTCTTAGTTATACAACTTTCGGGTGGACATACATATCAGTACAGCAGACCTACTTTTAGGAAATAAGAACATGCATTAAGATTTAGCTTTAAGAATATTCACTACAGCACAGAATACTAAAAAATTTAAAACAATCTAAATATCTCAACAACAGGCATATGTAGAATTCTATTTATTGTCTGGGAAGACCAGTTGTGACACATAGAAAAAAGCTGATTTTCCATGTGGGGGAAAAATACACACCAAAATGTTAACAATGGTTAACTGGGATAATTACAAATGATTTTAACATTTCTTTTGGGGTTTTCTAGAACATGTACACATTATTTATAAGAAAATATATAAGTAGAGTCTTAAAGTTTTTTCTTATTATAAAATACAAGTATAAAAAAATAAAAAATAAGATACATGTGTTTAAAAATAAAAAACACCCCAACATCCATCAGCTGGAGATCAACTATTTTTTTGCATTTCACTTCATCTATTTTACAGAGCTGAATTTATACCAGATAAAAATATCCAAATTAACGTTTAATATGGTATAAAAAATTTCATCTCACTAAAACCAAAGAAGTAAAAAATGAGAAAATTCTCATTGACAAGACTGTATTTTTAAACTATCAAACAAAAACTTAAGATACATAAAGCCCACTGTTAGAAAGGGTATGGAGAGCTAACTGGGCACTTTCATGCACTAATGAAGTATGTAAATTGGTTCTTTTATGGAAGGCAAAAAAAACCTAAAAAAAATATAAAATATGTATTTCTTCTAGAAAATCTAGTTTTAAGAATTCATCTTAAGGAGATTACCTCATAATCATGAAGAAATGTACACAAAGATACTCACTAGGACATTGTCTATAATAGCAAATGACTGGAAACAAGCTAAATGTTCTCCAGTTGGGTCCACTGTTAAGTAACAGATGATGTACTCTTATGATGGCATAGGCAGTCACTCAAAATGGTATAAATCTATATTTACTGACAATAGAGATCAGTTCCACACCATAAGTTTTGAATGAAAAGAGTTATAGAGCAGCTCCATATCATATCATCCTTTACATAAAACTGTATGCAGACATCTAATATATGTGCAGGTATGCAGACAGAAATGTCTGAAAGGGTATTTACCAAAATATGTTATAATAGTAGCCATCTCTGGGATGTGGGATTTCAGGTGATTTTTAACAATGTCTTATAAGTAAGCATGGTACATTTTATATGAGCATGTATTATCAGGCATCTTTATTATCTGCCTCCCCTCTTGATGGCAGGCACTGCATCCTATTCATTTTTGTACACCTGGAACCAAGCAGTTTGGTTCAGAATCTGTATTCCAATAACTAGTGAATAAATGATCCTGTATTTTTCTGAGAAGCAAAAATTAAAGAATGCAGAGCTAGCAAGTTATTTCTCCATAGATGACTTGTGGTTTTTGAAGTGAAAATAGCAAATTATTTATTATCCAATTTTTGAATATTGGTTAGAGCCTTCTCTGCATGTCTGATTATCCCCACAACAGTGACTTAGATCAGAATAAAGTTTGTTTGTTTAAAAAACAACATAAAAAACCAAGAGGACTTCTGCCCAATTAAACAATAAAAAGGATAAAAAGCATGTTATTTTCTTTCAGTCTATTTTCTCCATATACATGTTACTTTGTAAAAATGGGATCGTACTACACATATTATCTTATAATGTGCTCTTTTCCTCTCAACGATTTATGGTAATCACTTCTTTGTGACGATAGCTTTCTACATCATTTGACGTACTCTATAAATATACCATGCTTTAATTAGTAACACTATTCCTAATATTTTGTTTTTAGTTTTTCATTATAAATAATACTATGATCAACATTCTTACATCTGAATCATTGTACATGTAATTATTTCCTAAATGTCAATCTCTAGCAGTAGTGTATGAGGTCAACATCTTTATGACAGATGATTTTGATCATCTGCTGATTTTTGAGAAAGGTTATACCAATTTATAGTTATACCATCACAGAATGGTATCCACTTCTCCAAATGGTGACAAATCATTCAACAAATTAAGTGCCTACTAAGTGCTAGAGGCACTGTGCTAGCTACCACCCTCATTGGAAATGGGCATTGCAATTCTATTTTTTTCCTTGCTAATTTAATAAATTAAAAACAGTATCTTAATGTTTATTAAACCTGCTGTTATTGTTGTTGCAATTTATATTTCATCTATTATGGATTATCTGTACATCTTCTATGCCCATTTCTTTAAGGTGAAGTTGCTTTTTGTTAAGAGCTTTTATTAATTAAACATTTTAAATGTTTGTAATATGTTGCAAAAAATTTATTTTCCCATTTATTTAAATATTTACTAAGGGCTCACCATGTAACTGGCACTGTTTTAGGTGCTAAGGATACAGTGCCAACATAAAAAATCTTTGTTCTAAATTTACATTCTAGTGCCTCCTGTCACTTGTCTTTTAACTTTGTTTACAGTGTTTTGGAAAGTTTAGAAGGTTTTAAACTTTTATAAAATCAAATGTATTAACCTTTCGTTTTAAGGTTACTACCTTCGATATCTTGCTTATGTTATTATTTTTATAATTAGAACCTTAAAAAAGACAGACTAAAAAAGTTCAACATCTCCAAAGTCCCATGGTAACCCCACTCACATCTGTGTCAACCCACTGGCGAACATCCATGGGTGCAGCTGTCATGTCATCTATTTTGTAAACAATGTTGGTTGGAGCCTTCTCTGCATGTCTGATTATCCCCACAATAGTGACCTGGATCAGAAGAAAAAGTTTGGCTTTGACACCAATGTAACATTTATGTACTTTTAAATGAAGTAATTTTTATTTCATTCTTCATATGATTAAGTGGCTCTTTCACAAATTATTCTATATACCTGTGAAATCTCAACATTTCCAATTCTGAATACTTCATCAACCAGAGTAGCAGAAAGCAGCTGTGATATGGTACAGGGTACAATGTGCTGGGCTCGGGATCGCTGAAAGAGTAGGCAAAAAATTCAATTAAAATAATAACTACCACTCGTTTAACATCTGCTTTGCGCCAAGCATTTTACATATAAAATTGGATCTTCAAAAGGAACTTAATTATCCTAGCTTCACAGATATGGAAACAAGGTCATATAACTAACAAACGCCTAAAAGCTAAAAAAACACTTTAGAATTCAAACTCAGGTTTGTGTGACTCCAAAGCTCCTGATGAATGGATAAGTTTGTTTTGTACTAGAGACTCATCAAAATGAGTAGACCACAGTGGGGACAGCATATGAAATTGACCAGCTTCCTGAACAGACCTTTACAAGGAAACTAGCTTTATGATGAAAGCTAGCTGGCTGTTCATCAGACGAGAGATGTTATTTGAAAAGGGTCTGAGAAACAGCCAGTGAGACAGAACTTTGGAGTTGCTCTAAATCTCATAAAAAAATATAACAAAAAGTTAGAGGTATAATTTCCTTTAGGACAGATGTTCTGACAACTGGATGGCAATCCTGGGGAAAATGGGATAAAGGCTTGGTCACACTAGACATCTTAAAGGGAAGGGAAAAGGTAGGGCAGAAGAGTGTCCAGTGAGGATGAAATCAACAGCAGTTGTTAAATGAAAACTCTCTTCTGAAAGAGTAAATAAGCATGTGGACAGTTTTTTATACATTAGCTTATTTATCAATACTCAGAGCCACACTGTGATATGAATAATACTAGTATCATTATTTGATAGAAAAAAACCACCTCTACCAAAACCAAGGGTTCAAGTTGCTTTGCTAAACTCACTGCCAGTTAAAATGCAAAGCTGATTCTAGACACAACATATTCTGGCTCCAAAGCTCAAGTTCTTTTAAATAATAACCTGGGGCCATTTACTGAAAGCGACTCTGGGGCAGGCACTTTATAATATTAAGTCTCACGACCACCTTGTAAGGCATGTATTATTTAATCTCATTTATTTAGGTGCAAAACCGACTCTCAAGAAAGTTAAGAAATTTGTCCAATATTATCGAGCAAAGTGTTGGAGAACATAGATCTACATGACTTTCAAAGACCATGCTCTTTCCACCGTATTAGAGTACCTCGCCAAGTTTAATTAAAAAACTATTTTGAATACCTTAACGTAATATGCTATTAGTATGTTTAATTTTTCCATAAAAGTTAATTCATTAGCGATCTTGATAAATTTCAAAATAAAGGCAAGGAAACAGTGGATGCAATTATAGGTGAGATTCCTTTTTACAAACGTACAGCACTTGATTTCAAGATTCGATCATTGTTATCGAATCAGTTCATGTTTAACATCCTTCGCCACGTAAAATTTTTTCACTTGGCTGAGTTACGAACTTAACGTCAGATTAAAAAAAAACAAAACAAAACCGAAATACTCTTTCAACCTACTGATTTCTTTTCAGCCTGAGAAGGTGCCGGCGATCCAAAGCCCCCAGGGGACTGTGTGTAGCCACCAGCTCCCCCAAAGGTGGAGTTGCCATAGCTTTCAAATCCACCTGGTTTTAAATAACAACAACATTAGTATCTGGGCTGCATTCCAAGCTTCGGAAAAACCCACAGGTCCCCTAAACTTCACTCCCTCCACCTAAACACTCCCACATCTCCCTTATCTTCCCCATCACCTTTCCCTGGCCCCCAAACGCCCCCACCTACGGCTCCCGCCCCTCCCCCAACTCCTCTTCCTCCCGCGGCCAAACGCCTCTCCAACCCCCGCTCTGTTTGCTAAATTCTTGCGATTCTCATCCTCCGCGCCACTCGTCATTACTATTCCACATTATGGTCACGATTTCCACAGGAAAAAGACCGAGAGAATTCCAGTCTGCTGAGTTCGCCGTTCGCCACAGAACCTTGTTGCGGCCGCAGCGCTATATCTACTTTTCGCTGGCGCCACAAAGTACTTCCCGCGAATGACGGAGCCAATCAGCGTTCAAAATGCTTCTTGCTTCAGCCAATCAATGCTCACGAATCCTGTCTTCGCTGACCAGGTTCTTGAATACACGCACTCTGCCCCCAGTAGGGCCGGAAGCCTTTGCGGCCATTTTTACTAAGGTCAAAACATGCTGCGCAAGCGGAAGCAAGGATCCTCGTGAGACTGATGGGGCGGTGTCTCAATAAAACAACCAATCCAGTAATACTTCCGTATCTCAGGACCATATAATCTCACCTCTGCTAATAGGTGACACCTTACGTCACTTCCTTTGTTGGTTTCTCTTCCCGCCAAATTTTCACCAATCATACGACGCCTTAATGCAAAGTGCGTCAGCATTTCCGCCTGGCAGTCGTCAGAAGTTTGCGCAGCCGGAGTAGCAACTTCGCAGCACCTTGTGGGATTGTGTATTCTTTAATATAAAGAACCCGTTTTTTTTCTTGTATTTCCACTCCCCGGTCGTAATTCTACCCAGTGAAGCTATAAGACATATACGCTCTTTTCCTCAGGATGGCCTTCCAAAAAATATGAGGATTGCCCTCCCTGCACCTGTCTTCACCCTAGTCTAATCCAGCAAGACTTCCTTCGTTGCTTTTAACTATTCTTCATATAATATGGTTGCGTTCCTCTTATAGAAAGAGCAACTTGTCTGTCTGTTCCTTGCTGTAAATACTGCTAGATTTTAGAATTCCCCCCTCCATTTAGTTAAAAATATCTCTTGATGCTGCTTTTGTCCCAAGCTCTGTGCTGGCTACTGGGATTCAGTGGTAAATAAAGGTGGACATGGTCCCTGGGCTCCTGGATGGTTTTCTTTTATTGAAACACTGTTTTAAGTATTTTATATTTATTAACTGAATCCTGTGAAGTAGATAAGGTAGTTATGGTCTCCATTTTATAGATGAAGAAACTGAGGAACGGGGAGGCTAAGTTTTGGGAGCCTGCATTCAAGCCCAGGAAATCTAATTTCATCAACGGTGCAGTTACTATACCTTCTTGAACATCCTAAACAAAGTCAAGTGACAACTATGGTCAGGCAGGAAAACTGTAAATGTAGTGGATAACAGAGGGATTTTTTTTTTTTTAGGTGAGGCAACCCTTGGTTGACCTCACAGATTGCAAGGAACTTGTCAGCTCACAATCCCTTATTTTTTACTTTTTAGGCCAAAGCATCTGGTCTTCCTAGGTGGTCTCCCATCCAAGTATTAACCAGGCCTGCCCCTGCTTAGTTTCCAAGATCAGACGGGATTTTTTAAAAAACTTTTTCCTCCACAGTAAGAAAAACAACAGCACAAGCATAAAGGTAAATAGCAACTGACATAAAAAATATAGACCCAGTGTTGCCAGATCATCTGTGTTAGCACATTTCAGAAATTTGGGTTTTTCTGTAGTTTTCTGAATTTTAAGTGTTCTTAAATAAACAATTTAAAAACACCATATAGGCCAAAGAAAAGATACCTGTGAGCCAGATATTACTTTGTAAATTCTGAAAACCTCCAAATCATTGCTGAAGAATAAGCTAGATACAGCCAAGAACAAAAGGCATACCAAGATGATACTACTATATTAAGCCTAAGGTGATTGAAACTTACATTGTCTGACAAATAAGAGCATATTTATGATACATAGGATAAAATGTTTGAAATTAAGACTATTCTGGGTAATTTAAGATGTGGGTTCACTTGGGCTAATTGGTCTTATTTGGGCCGATTATGATATGATTGAGGTTCAGCTAGTTATAAATTCAGCTGTGAAGAGCATACATTTAAACATGAAATAAAATGAAAATGTCTTAAAATATAACAATGCAAAACATGAAAATGATTTTGCACATCTTTTCAAGAGCTCGATGATCTGATAAATTGAGCAGAAGGTTCAGTTCTCAATCAGTGCTAAAAAATTGGTATTTACCGTGTGTGCGTGTGTGTGTGTGTGTGTGTGTGTGTGTGTGTGTGGTAGTGACATAATATCTCAAGGTTTATTTCATCAAGTTGCAATCTTCCTGTCACATAAGGTATTCCAAGAAGTTTTCCATTTCCCTCTCTAGGCAGGCTGGTATCAGGGAAATCCATAGCAAGACTGAGAAGAGGAGAAATCACCCTTTAAAAACAATCAAGTGACACACCCTTTAGGACAACTACTATTAAAAAATAGAAAACACCAAATGTTGGTGAGGGTGTGGGGAAATTGGAACACTTGTGCACTGTTAGTGGGAATGTAAAATGGTACAGTTGCTATGGAAAACAGTATGGCAGTTCCTCAAAAAAATAGAAATATAATCACCATATGATCCAATAGTATATATCCCAAAGAAGAAAGCAAGGACTCAAAACAGATGTTTGTACACCCATGTTCCTAGCAGCATTGTTCACGATAGCCAAAATGTGAAAGCAACCCAAATATCCACTGACACATGAATGGATAAACAACATGTGGTATGGACATACAATGGAATTATTCAGCCTTAAAAAAGGAAGGAAATTCTGATACATGCTACAATATGGATAAACCTTGAAGATATGCTAAATGAAATAAGCCAGTCACAAAAGGACAAATATTGTCTGATTCCACTTATATGATGTACCTTAGAATAGTCAAATTCATAGAGACAGAAAGTAGAATAGTGGTTGCTAGGGGCTGGAAAGAGGTAGGAACGGGAGTTATTGTTTAATGGGTACAGAGTTTCCGTTTTAGAAGAGAAAGTTCTGGAGACAGTGGTGATGATTGCACAACAAAATGAATATAGTTAATGCCACTGAAGTGTACACTTAAAATAGATAAAAAGTAAATTTAGTTATTTGTATTTTACTACAATTAAAAATATTTTTAAAAAATCTACTTTGGTGTTTAATGAGTGCATACCACATGCCAGTTACATGCATCACCTCTACTAAATGCTGAATATGGATTATCTCCCAAAGTTTTTGACTGTTATTTTGACCTCCATGGTCAACTTGCTTCCACTTTATAAACACAAACATTTTAATCAGAACTGTTCCAATATTGATGAAGTTTAATTTATACTCAATTCCCTGTTCAATTTTCTTTTTGTATGATGAGATTTAGCCATTCCGAATTTTTCTCATTTCAAATTTTGCTGAACTCATTTTTATGTGGCTCAGTCTTTTCCTGGGCAAACTATACAATGAGGATTTAATTCATCACCCAAATGCGATCCATACAAATTTTTACATATGTGATGTTTCACATCTGCTGCTGTAGTTTTATGGATGCTCATTATGTCTATGAAGTACAATTTGATTTAGTGGACATTTTGCAGTTTTCAATGTCATACACAAAATGTGATTTTCCAAGGGTTTTTTTTTTTTTTTTGTCTAAGAATTTTAGTGGTCAGAGTTGCCATTTCAATTTTATACTGTACTGATTTTTTAATCAGTAATAATCATTATGAATTGGATAAAACTAATAGGATTATTTTACTATCAGAGAGTCTTTTATATGTGGCAGAACACCCAGAACTACTTGTTTAATGCTCAATTTATTAAACTTGTACAGCTAATAAAACTTGAAATCAATCTTTCAGGTATTTATATATTGTTTACGAACTATTAAATAACCTTTAAAATTTTAAACTACAAAGTTTTAGTATGGCCAATTCTTATGAATACTTTAAATAACTAAAAGAACAAACAAAACACAAAAATGATAGTTTATTATGAAGCTAATGACTTTTAAGGTTCAAGGCCCCTCACTTGCATAGCATCTTCCAAGGCCCCTTCTTTTGTCTAGTTAAATATTTACTTTTATACCTTACTTTGCATTCTTTTTCTTAAATAGGGCCACACAAATGTATAAGCTTCAAGACCCACAAAATCTGCCCCTGCCTCCATGGATCATTGCTTTTTAATTTTGTTATTGTCCCAGAGTTTCTATAATATTATTTTTATTCCAGAATCCAACCAGACTGAAAAAAGAAAAGGAATGTCATCTTAGTTCACTTGACATTATTGGATCTGAGTCTTCAATCAATTGATTTTTGGTCAGGACTCAAAACTTGTTTGTGTGGTCCAAGGAGACTGTCACCAGGCCACAGATGACCAGGCTGAGCTTCCTTTTTGTAATATTTGTAAGACTTTTTAAGTCACACCTTTCTCATAGTTTTAATGTCTTTCCTCAAAATCATGGGCTTTCAGTCTCATTTGTCAGGATTATATAATCTGTTGTCCTGTTGGATATATCGATGGGGACTTTTGCAAGTTTAAAAAGTCATATATTCCTATTACTACATTATTTTGTTATATTTGTAAGGCCATCTGAAGGCTTCACTTTCTAGAAGAGGAGGAATAGAATTTGTAGAGTTACAGGACTCTACGATGTTTGGCTAATTAGTTCTTAGAGCACCTTATTATCCTCGCCTTCTACTTGGTTATTGTGTGTGAGCAGCCCAGCTCCTCAGCCCTTCTTGTTCTGCCCACAGTTCCACTCTGCTGGGACAGTTTGACTTCTCACATGTCTGTGAGTTTCTTCCTTATATATATATACTTTGTAAACAGACATCTAATTAATAAAAGAAGCAAAGTACCTGTGTGTGTTGGCATTACTTATTAAAATAAAAAATTTACTGTCGCTTTGTAGTATAATTTGAAGTCGGGCTTCAAATTATACTACAAAGTGACAGTAATCATAACGGCATGGTACTGGCAGCAAAACAGACACATGGACCAGTGGAATAGAATCGAGAGTCCAGAAGTAAACTCATATTTATACGGGCAAATAATTTTTGACAAAAAATCCAAAAACAC